GGGGCAGGACCCCAGGGGGCATGCATCCCTGTGGGAAGGAGCCCTGCACCCTCAACGCTGACTGCCTCTGCCGCTCCCTTGCAAACGGGCTGCCGGAGGATTTCTCTGCTTTCTCCAGGAGCTCCCCAAAGCTGGAGCCCCGACCCCAGGTAGGTGCCAGGGGGCCCTGCACTGGGCATGGGCTCTGCCCTGGGGTCCATCATCCATTCACTGCTCTCCCCTCTGCAGGGCAGCGCCTGGCCATACCCCCGGCAGAGCTCGGCCCATGCCCAGCGCATCGCCAGGGCCAAGTGGGAATTCTTCTACGGCTCCTCGGATACCCCAAAGACAGGTAAGAAGTCCGTAGGGGGAATGCCCTTGGTCAGACTTTGCAAGTCTGAAACTCTGCTGGGACCCCCTCTAGGGCTGCCCATCCCTTGGGACTTGTCAGTGCCCACTGGACAGCTGAGATCCCCCCAAGATCAGCCAGTCCATGTCCTCCTGGGGTCAGATCCTGCATGCACTGACCTCCCCGCAGAGTCCCCTGCAGCCATGCAAAGCATCGTGCAAAGAGGGTGACACAGAGCTCTGGCCCCTAGCAGCCCCTGGCTGCCTCTGCAGAAGGGCTTTGGGGTTCAAATGGGGGCTCAGGGTTGGCTGTGGGTGCACAAGCACCGGCAGCATCCAACTACTTCCCCTCTCTGCCTCCTGCCACCCTTTTTCCTTTCTGCTCCCCCTCTCAGTTCGCTGGTGCCTGTCACACACATGACCCCACTCTCAGGGTGTGTGTGGTGCCACAGGAGCAGCTCCCTGCTGCTCCCTGGCACAGCTCACTGAAGCTCTGTGTGCTTGGGGCTTTCTTGCAGGCTCCTCTGCCCCCAAATCTGCTCCCCGGGCTGAGCCTCCTCAGAAGCCCATCTGCCTGCTGCCCACCGAGTTGCCAGGGTCGACGCCTGAGCACAGCCTGAGCCATGTGGAGGTGGAGATAGAGATGTCTCCTCCAGGCAGCCAGAAGCCAGGCTCCTGCGAGACTGGGATTATAAGGAGGACAGTGAAGTACTCTGAGACAGACCTGGACACCGTGCCACTGAGGTGCTATCGTGAAACCAACATCGATGATATCCTGGCCGAGAAGGAGGAGGTGGATTCGGCAATTGAGAGCCAGAAGGACAGTGAAAGCAACCCAAGCTTTGGGGGCACCCCGGGCAGGAGGAACAGCACGCCGGAGGAGCCCCCCACCCTGGGCACCAGCTTCCCAAAGGACAGGCTGCGAGACGGGGATGTGGATGAGGACGATGAAGTGTTTGAGGCAACAAGGAAGGAGAACAGGGACAGGTGAGGGTCTGTGCATGAGGGCAAAAAGCTCCTCTCAGCTTCCTTATTGTCTCATGCATGGCAAAACAAGCTCTGCTGAAAGTGTGAGCCAAAAATCCCAGTAGCTCCATGCGAGCTGTGCGTGGGAGTCCGACAGGGTCCTGGATCGCCCCACTGGTATTGGGACTGGGACTGAGTCTGGGAGAGACTGGGAGGGGGCCCTCACTACCCTGTGGAAAGATTAGGGCAGCACAGGTCATCCAGCCCTGGGCACTGCGCTGTGGGCCTTGCTCCCCTGGGGTGAGCCCTGCAGCTCAGGCTCCCCGGTGCAAGTCCCGACAGGTTAATTATGTCCTGCCCCAGTGCTGCCTGGTGTTGGGGTGACAGTGTCAGGGTGCCTGAGCCCAGGCTGTGTCCTGGAGCTGCTGTGTGACAGCAGGTGCTCCCGGGCTGCCCTCCCCTCCGCAGACAGCTGTGCTTTGGCAGTGGGAGCAATCCC